GGAATTCGATCTTGAGAATTCTGGCTAGGTATCAACGTATTCGACGCATCGTGTCCGCCCAAGCCAGATGGTATCAATTCCAAGCAATTGTTGGTATGGCTCTACCACCTCTAAGCGCAATGAACTGCCCTGTATCCACATCCACATCAACCGGCATAATGTAAACGTCGTCTATCTAGAAAGCGGGATACATACCATCAGCGATATCTAGGGTTGGACTCATTAAATCAAATTTGCTAGGGGGTGGAATCGGACGAGTGAAAATTTGAAACACTTCCATATGTTAATGTCCGTTGCTGGTTGATGCGTAGGGTAATTTTACCTGAACGTTATCGTCAGCTTCACCGTGTCGAACATATTGTGTGACGTCTTGGCCAGTTACAACTTCCACATATCTGGACTGAGGTAGCTCTTGAAATACCACAGACCTCGTAATTTCCAGTCAATTTGAATTATAATTCTAAACAGGGTAGCCCCTCACGCCATGTGCAAACCCTAAAAGCATACAACAAAATTCTTTTTATCCATATTCTGTCGTTTCGCTTTGTCAATGTGCGCGTACCCTTATGATCCAAACACACGCATATGTGACAAGTCCGGCTTTGATCCCAAAAACTTCTAGCAAGGTTTTGATCGAGTGAGAAGCGTATTTGACACGATTTGCAATGAATATAGCAGTGTTGATGAATTCAACCCAGAATTTATTCTCAACATGCATGTGATTTAGCAGTGATCGCGCTCGCTCCGTCAGCGTCCGATTCATTCACTCAGCCGTTTCATTTTGCTGAGGCAAATACGCCGTTGTCATTTAATGTATGTTTTCAGCTTGTCGATACACTTGATGAAAACGCTTGTTAATATATTAGCCACCGTTATTGGTGCGGATAAATTAAATGTTAGTCGACAATTGAATATCCATCATCATACTGAATTCGATAAACTTATCAACCGCTTCCGACTTGTGTGCAATGTAGTACGCGACGATGTATCGTGAAAAACGTCGATAAATGTAACAACGAATCTTTCTCTAACCTGCTACTTGGTCTCCATTAGACCCATTACATCACTGTAAATTAGTTGTAGCATCGAAGTCGTCAAAACCCACCGTAAATTGACTTCAGAATAGGATATTCTAATGACTTGTCAGTCACACATCCTTCACGTATGTCAAGTTGTAAAATCAATACCACTGGACATCTCTTCCTTCATGAATCATTCAACACAATTCTCGAGCATTTCAATGTCATGATTGGCAGGTGTCTCATTCGAGTTTGCCATATACGTGAACTCCCAGGCTTGGATTCACTGCCAACCTCTCCACAGATCTTCATAGACTCTACTTATTCACACTCCAGCACAATCAATTTTCCCTTCTGGGTAACTTGAGTCACAACTTCGTGTTGGTTCCTGATTTCACATGTGTTCTTTCGGAACATTATGTGCAATTCTTTTGGAGAAAATGCGGAATTTAACGGAAGTCTACGATCCAATTCCGGGACGTAGAGCACGTCTTCAATACGGATAGGATTCTGGTTATTTAATAAGACTTGAATTGTCCCAGATCCAGAAGTCGTCGCTGTTTTCCATTTGCAACTAAAATAGCAATTAACCTATTACGATATCACACTTACACAAACTCACCCTTGAATGGGCCTATGTGGCCAGTTGCACCACTGCCAAGTATCCATCTTTCTGCCTCTTTTTCACTCACTGTAATCGCTTGTTCTCCATTCTGTTTCCTGTCAGGATTCTTCTAGCATCTTGTTTCTTGTAACTCTTTCTTCCACAAATGAAACACGTCCCGGAAAACTTGTTTCTTGTTTCCTTCGACCAAAAACCTTTGCCCTTGACGCTTCTTGTAGCCTCTAATGCAAACTCATTCTTGTCCTTGCGAACAATCCCTTCGTACTCACGACGAAGAATCTACTTGAATTTTTAAGAGATCTGGCCCGCCACGTTTTCAATAACCTTAACGATCTGATCATACTCTTCGGACAGACTTCCTAGCAAAATGGCGAGCTGTTCATCTCGCGACACATCGTCTCCAATAGCTTGCATCTACAAGCACAGTTCGTCGAACTTGGTAAAGTGTCCCATCACGATTACGCCCCTCTGCATCTTGAAATCATGCAACTGCGACGCATCTGTACTCGATTGTGAATACTTTTACTGCAAAAAGAGCTCTTGAAAATCTTCCATGCTTATGCAGTCGTCGATACCAACCGACCATGGACAAGACGGTCAATCTAAGTCTTTAGACTTGGATTGACCGTCTTGCGCACGGTTGCAAAATGTTAAGAATAGTTGATGCGACGGGTATGTCATGATAAGCGTGTCTAGAATATACTTCGATTAGTGCGGCTCATATAGGGCAACACTGTGTGCAATTCACAGTCATTCTGTAGCATAAGTGGGCATGTGTGGCAGCCATATCCCAGAGGTTACCGGTTTGATACCCGGCATTGAAAGCTAAACCTTAGGGTCTTGATGTTTGGGTTTCGCCAGCACTGCCCTACCAGACAGTGACGTCCCCCAATTTTGTGTCAGCGGAAAAGATGTTTGCCACATCACAGAAACCGTTATATGGGAAAGGAACATCAGGATTGATGGAACGATTGGAAAGAAGAGGTGATCGAGGAAGATGAGTACCAACGTTAGGAATGAGTTACACTCTCAACTAAATACATTTTTGGCTTTGCTGCTTCGACCAGCAAGTGTTCGTCGCTTCAACGCACTGATAACATTTGTACAAAAGCCTTTATGTCATTGACTTCCAGGCGCCCGAGTTTATGTCGCCTTTACCCGTAGCCCTTCGTCGTGTAGCGATGCTCCATCAAACCTTTCTTTGCGAGCTTTCTTCGAGTGCTGAGCTCCCACACGCATAAATTATCTACATTAAGTATAGTGTTTGCCTCCGCCGTATTTGGGCCTATAACCTCAAGAGGTGTAAATTGTAGGGGAGACAAATAGTAGTCATTGTTTAATAGGTGCTTGTCGATGTGAATGCAAAATGCTAAGTGAATATATTAGGTCCTTCGTTCACAACTTCTTCTTGCTACTCTAATCCTAATTGATCCTTTGCCTATACAACAGTAATCCACATTACGCGCCTTACTCGTTGTGTAGTCGCGCATGAGTAGGCTACCCTAAACACAATACTCATCAGATAGTCGCACATGTGAAATACACACTACTGGCATTACTCATGATAGGCGCGCTACTAATCATCAGGCTGTACCTTTCGTTTGTCGCTGGCTGGACGAGGAGTATCATCAACAACAGTCAGGAAGTGAATTGGAAAGCATATTAGTCGACAGAAAACTTGCGCATACATTCAGCTACTAGTATGTAGAAGCACTACAAAGGTATCACCTGAGTCGTTGCTTTCTTCATCTAACCGACTGCTAAAGTTTCACTTTCTGTGTCCGTTTCAAAACGACTACATTCAAACATCTTGATGACGTTTGAACGTACACAAAGTGTACATCATTAACAGCGCTGAAGTCTTAAATCGTGACTCACAGCTCTGAATCGCGTTTTATAGGCAAAAGTTGCCGCTGCGCAGGCAGTATCCAGAAGCTGAGGTACTGCAACTTGTTCGCTACCAATCATGACCACACGTTCGCCTACCTCGTATTTTACAGCGCACATCGCTGTACATTTTCCCGCTGCATGACATAAGAGATTACAGCTCGTCAGACGACAGAATAATCAACTCGCCACTCAATATATGCGCTCGGGAATGTATTTATTTGAGACGACGCACACGTGGATCACGAATGGTTGGTTTGATGGACAGCAGGTCCGTTTTCAAATGCATGTAGCCAGGTATTCTTACTCGGAATGCAGTGCATATATAGATTTAATCCATCGCTTAGTATGTCGATTAGATCGACGACAGAAAGAAAGCATTGCTAGCAATGAGCCCACGCGTTTCTACTTTGTTCGTTTCCGTCGGCAAGAGAGTGTCACGCCGGGTTTTGAGCAGCACGTTGCCAGTCTCCCGTGAACCGTTAATGGAGAACGTTGTGTTTCACGCGATGCGTCTGGAACTGGACTATCTTCAAGCGACTCGTCAGAACTTTCAGATCGTGCAATTCGCAAAGAGAGAGTTCAAATTTGATTATCGGTCTTGTTAGTCACGCCAGTTTGTCAGCGTCGCTATGCAACTGGATCGTTGGGAATCAGATCGTGCTAAGTTGACATGGTCTTCCAACGAACACGCCAGAGTTCTGTGCCACGAGACGAGGGCTCGTGCTCGGCCATTGCAACCATAGCGCCAAGACAGAGACAAAGTGATGGTGATTCGACCACTGCCCGATGCAAGATCGTGCCGCTACACCGTTAGATTGTGTTCATGACGCGGCCGGTGATTGTTTACACAATGTCAATCAGGCAGAATGCGACGCATACACCAAGGAGGCCCGTGACTTGCCGAAAACCGTGTTTCCATGTTCTGACATCATGCTTTAGAACACAATCGTTTCCACTTTTGCAGATTCCATCGCCAAGAAAAGAGGCAGTGGCTATGCAGCAACAACACATTGGGTCCTCACCACGTTGTTTCATGCCCGGCCAAAGCATCCGTGAAGAAAGTAGAGCAAAGTGTCGCTAAAGAATGCCAAAGCGACCTCAGTCGAGAGAGCGGGTGCGACGACATTGTTTCGTGCCGGGGCTACACTACTGTATCTCCTACTCGAGTAACTACTGCAGAGAAACCGCTTTTTGCATTGCCCTCAACTGTCTTTGTCGCTTTCAATCACGAAAAGACCATCAGAAATTGATCCGATACAGCTTGAGCGCACCGACTGAAACATACAAAGGCAACGTCGTAGACGGGTGCTGGAATTGACCAAACAAGTCTATTTGAGCTCTACATACCCAAATTCAGCAATCGACGGTCACAATACCAATTCTTTTCTTAGCGTGTTTTTGCATACAAAAACTGTGACCATTTGTCCACGCGTTTGCATTTTTGAGCGACCAGTTTGGCCGCAACCATGGCGTCCGCGATGGCGACCAAACGTCTGCGCAAGGAGTACCTGGCGCTGCAGCGCAAGCCTGTGGACTATATCCGAGCGGCCCCCCTCGAGACGAACATACTCGAGTGGCACTACGTGATCACAGGCACTAAGGGCACGCCGTACGAAGATGGCTACTTTCACGGCAAGCTCAAGTTCCCTCCTGAGTACCCCATGAAGCCTCCGTCCGTACTAATGCTTACGCCAAACGGTCGATTCAAGACGAATCAGCGACTGTGTCTCAGTATGTCGGACTTTCATCCGGAAACGTGGAATCCCATGTGGTCAGTTAGTTCCATTCTTACGGGGCTCTATTCGTTTATGGTAAGAGGGATAAAGTAGCAGCAATGGCGGTACTACTTAGAGCTTTTCGTTGTGTTGTCGTATCGAGCGTCGTACATGTATAGTCGAGCTAACTCTCTGGCTTTTCTGCTCTCTGTAGCTCGAGAATCAGGCAACGTTGGGCAGTATTACTACTACGGACGCACAGAAGCGGAAGTATGCGGCGGCGTCTTTGGAGACCAATTGCAGCAATGCGATCTTTCGCAGTTTGTTTCCGGATCTCGTAGCACTACAGAAGGCGCGAGAAAACGATCGAGAATTGCTACGACAGTTGTCGTCTGACGGAGAGGCAGCAACGACGTCGTCGTCGGGCGCAAAAGCGGGAACACTTCCTGGTAATGGGGCGGTGATAGAAGACTGGTCCACGACAGTGTACTTGATCGGCGTTGTGCTCGTAGTGGCTACTGTTGCGGCTTATGGGCTATCGTAAGCAAATTGTCGTCGGATGCAGAGGAGAAGGAAACCGAGTAATGATGGGGTTATGAGTTGACGTGTCGATCGTCCTTGACGGCGCAACAATTCAGTTTGATTCATGTGCTTTTTCATTAGTCGTGTATTCAGCGTCTTGATGCGAAGTGTACGCGACCCCGACCGGCTTGTGTATCGCTCAACGATCAGCTTTATGCAAACCAGTACACCGAATCATCGTCCCATAGCAGCCTTAGCTACCGTTTCGCCATTGATACTGTCTCTAAGAATGCTTACCGTGGCTAGTCGTGTCACTTCGAACAGCTTTTGTCGTTATCACATATTTGTACAGATGTACACACAATAATGTGCTTCTCGTCAAAGCTGAAGCCCGAAGGATACTTCTGTGCTGGAAAGGCTTGGCACATATAGTGACCGAACCGATTCGATCATTCTTGCAGACACCTAGCAAACGTGTGTCGTTTTGTCGGTTTTGCGTGTCATTTCTATACGGAGTACAAGGACCAACATCGAAGTGTGTGTTGGTCTAGACTAAATATCCTCCAGAGCGGGTCTCCGAAACCGTGGAACCGCCTGCCTCGATCTTACGTCAGTCAGCATGTATCTCGTTCAAACAGCACATCCATGAGCTGGTCGAGGAAGAATGGACAGCTTGCTGAGAGACGTGCGTCGTCGTTGTTCGAGATCAGCGCGTACCTTAATACGCAAGCAAATATCAAGGTACAAACATGACCGCCTTTCCATAGGCATCTACGGCTGTGAACGATCACGTGAATCAACAGCAACAACATCAATCAAAGTCGTCAACAACTTCTCAGTCATTTCCGTCCGAAGCTGCTGTAGCACCACCTCCGTCAGTATAGTCTCACTTTTTTGCGGCAACCTCGACAGCCTACTTGACCACACCACACTACTTACTATCCTTTACAATCTCGTTCGCGTCCGTCGTCACTTCCCACTTAAGTGCGATGGTAGGGTGCTACTTCACGCACCCACTCGAGCGTAGCGTTCTTCTCACTCTCGTCCACATTCAAGCGACATGCTGCTTCGCCTATATGACCGTTCGACCGCACCCGTCAACGGCGCTTTCTGTCCAATCACATTGCGCCGTTCTTCCGACAGCAAAGACGGACGCATGGCGCTGCGACGAGCGCTGCTGTCCTACAGCTCCACGCGATCGCGTGCTGCGCTCTCTCCCGCGACGCCTCAGCCCCTGCGCGCTCGTTACTACGGCTCGAACAACAGAGACGACGCCGACGATGTGGTGGTGGCGCTGTACCCGAATGGCGGTACTTTTCCGTCTGTAGCTGCTGGGACCACTGACGACGTCAATACACGACGTGGCCGAAGACGACGAGGACGACGTGGTCGACGTGGCAATCGGACCGTCCGGGACCGAGTATGGCGGACCCATGCGGGGCGGAAAGCTGAAGGAGCCCACGAGGTTTGGCGACTGGGAGCGGAACGGTCGCTGTTCGGACTTTTGAGTCGCTGGGAGCTCGACGAGCTCTCTGAGCTGTACATTTGTGGCTGGCGTTCGGACGTTGCACATCGTTGTCGATACATCATGGACTGCTTTTTCCACTGCGTTTTCCTTCTTGTTGTTGAAAGTGGTGATTGTATCGTTGGACGGTCTACGCCTTGAGGTTGAGCTGCTCTTGTTGTTTAGCACTGTACTTCCTGGACTCGCGGCAGTCATTTGTAGTGTGGACGTGGGGAAGTATTTTGACTGTCGTTGGGCATGCAGGAGCTAAGGCAACGAATTTGAACGGGTTTCGTCATCAATACGAAAAGCACTTGTTGAAGCTGAACAATGATGTTGTTGGTATTTGTCGCTTGCTACACGTAAATAGTCGGCATGTCATGATGGAGCTGCACGTAGATGATGTGTATGGCTGACCGAGGACGCTGCAGTGTCGTTGTTTTATTCGTCAAAATGATTAGTCCTCGTAGGCAAAGTATTCGTCGAGTCGGTTACACTATTTGATGCTAAAATGATACCGAGGGAGAGATGTTTACGGTGCTTATGACTGTCGGTGCGTGTGAGCGATTGGCAAAGGTGTTATGTATGGCAAGAGTGGGTACAAACAAATCAGTTGTCGCGAATATGTGATGGACGATTGATTGGCTCGATGGACAATCGATCCGAGGAATGACCAAGAATGTACGAGCTGCTTGAGACCGTCAAGTTGTGCAACGTCATCAGCGATGCACAAGCGTATCGTTGCAACAGGAAACGAGATAGATGCTGTATTTTACATTCAATAAAACAAGTGCCTGCCCGGTTTCTTGTCACGATCGACACATGGATTCTTTTACTGCATTCTGCGACGACAATGGAAGAATGAATGGGTGTTGTGGCATCGAGCGCGTTGACAATACGAACTCAATGAATGTCCGAATCGTCGCGTTGACGTGGGCGTATTTCTTTCGAGACATTGGCAGTTCATTTTCAAGCAGCTATTGGACCGTAGCAATACGAAGGCCTGCGCAAAGCACCTCTAGGTTGCTGCTGTTATACTGAAAAAGCTAGCTGGATGCACATATGATACACATAGCATGTATAGATATGGTTCCTAATGACAGATTTGCTTTTCCTTTTCGCTGCCTTATTGTCTTGTTCCCCTAATGAGTATTCAAGCCCGACAGAGCGTAGTTTGGACGTATTGGCTACGAAACAAAAGTGAATACAAGCTACAACGACAAGATAGTGGTGCAGGCGCATAGAAGTACGCATTCCCTTTTTCATGTTACGTCGACGACTCGCATGGACTGCAAACCTCACTTGTGACTTCCACATATCGATAAATATTATAATGGTCAATTTTACTTTTTCTTAGTACATCTTGCTCGGTACACATGAAGCATTCTAGTCGTGGTGAGACCATGAGCAACACATGAAGCTGTGCACAAAGCCCGTTTACTTCCTCTTCGGTTACCGCTTGTTGACATTTTCTTGCTTTAAACCTGACAGCTTATCCACCACGCACTATCCGCTGCGACGACGCCCAATATGCACAACTATAACAAATACTAGTGTCGACCACAACACTACAGTGAGAGTCTGCTCGGCCTTGTTGAGCCTCGTCCGTTGCAATTTCCTGTCGCATGCCACGCGAATATTACGACGTATTGCACGATGTGTTACTCCGTGTCGATGTTGCATCTTACTTTTCCTGTGTTCCCTACTTTGTGAGCAAATGATGCGTAGACTGAGACGATTGTGTCTCGTGCTGGGGCAATCGGTCTGCACGTGGCCAACTAGTCGTGCGCACCAATGCTTCGCTTCGGATCTGGAGAAAAGGCGCGACATGACATTGACAAGCGCCTCACTCCAGCACAGCTACGTTGGAAGAAAGACAAAAAGCGTCGAAGTTGACGAGCTGCATCTACTTTTGCGGCCAATGTACCGCCCTTTTCGTCGTCAGGCAGCTTCAAAACATCGTTTGCAGCGCAGTATCGTCGACACAAGTTTTTGAATGTATCGGTCGCGACGTGTGTGTCATCGTACCGGACCACTATTACTTGCCACGCAACGAGCTTCAGACTGCAGTACGATGACAGTGCCAATGTCTTCGTACAAAACTGACCACTTTTCTTGCCGATAAAGAGAAGAAAGTCACACACTTGAGCTCTTGGAACAATGTCATCATAACGACATGCGCACATAAATCTGCTCGTACAAAAGCTGTATGATTGGTCACCAATTACAACTGCTGGTGAGTCGTCATCAGTGACGATATGCTATTTGGCGGTCACTTTCATTGTGGTATGTTATCTGATGCGTCATACATTCTGCAGAGGCGACGCCTCCCGAAACGCAGACGTGTCCCACACTAATTGTCACCTTCTAGCGCACATCAGACCAATTATTGACCACGTCCGTCCGCGCCACATGGCGTCGCTGCCGCCCACATCGCCGACGATTGGCGCTCTCGTGCTGCCCGAGATGAACGTCGCGAGCGCAGAGAACTCGCGACAGCTCGAGAAGCGCTTTGCGTTTCTGTGGACGTCGGCGCACCGTCTGCTGCCGAGTAACGTCACGCTGGCCAACCACCTGATGTGCGTGTTTAAAACCGGTGCACCTGTTCAAAACACACACTTGTCAAAAACCGCTGACCTTTTTGACAGTGCGTCGATGATGCAGATGGCCCGAACGAGTCGCGCGCAGCTGCCGCAGTCAGTGCTGGACTTTATCTGCGCGCGCTGTGGTGGACTGGTCGTGCCCAGTGTGTCTGCGGCCGTGCGCGTGGTCCCTCAGGGCCGTCAGTCGCCTGCGAACCGGCGACTCAGGAGACAGCACCAACGGTCAAAAAAGCAAATGCACAATAGTGACCACAAGGGGCCACGTCTGGTTCGTGAGCGTCTGTCAACAATTGTGGTTCGTTGATGTTGTGACAATTGGATTCTGGGAAAAAGAGTGGATGGCATTTTTGACGCTGCCTTTTTGTTGACGTCATGTGTGTCAACAACACCTGCAGCGAGTCACGTGCCACCGATGTCGTCATCGCAACGACCGGCCTGGGACGTCGGTAGTCTACAAAGCTAAATTGAAGAAGCGCAGGGAAGAGGGTCAGCCATCGGCAGCACATGCTCCCGAGTTGCAAAAGAGGACCACAAATGACAGTGTCGCAGGTCAAGTCGACGACTGTTCAGCGAATGTTGCGGGGACATCAACTACGGACGTGGAGCTGACCTTTGCTCCGTCGAGCATGTTTGCAGCAGTAGCACCACCGGGTTCGCCGAGAAAGCTGTTGGACGGACCGAAGAAGCGAAAGAAAAAGAAGAAGATTGCACAGCCGGATGCCGCTGTTGTCGCTGTCAAGAATGACTTGAGCTCCTTTTTGCAAGGACTTGCTTCACGAAAGTGATGTGGCGTTGCGAATATGTTTGTGCGGTATCAGCTATGAGACGCGTACGTTGCTGTGGATCCGCTACGTGGGACGCAGACGCTGATAGTAAGAACGAAGCAGCTACGACTCAGGTTTACTCAGCTGCAAGTGGAGGTCGTCTGTGCTGCTGTGCGGTATTGATGGTTGCTTCGTGGCGAGATGTTATAACGTGGCACTTGTCGGGATGGACTAGTTGTGGCAAGCGCAATACTGCATTTGGCATCATTCACGTCTTTGCCGGCTATGGTCGCGTGGGGTTCAGCACACCCTTTCACGGACACTGCTTTTGCGGTATCAATTTGATCGTATGACCAGACTCATCGACTTCGGGTGTCGTTTCTCAGCTTTCGGTGTGAGATGGGGATGGCGTGAAACGCCCTGTACCTGCCTTGAATTGGTAACTGTCGACCTGCCTTGAATTGGTAATTGTCGCGCATCAGATTCGGTTTCGATGGCCTACCTCGCTCATGTTTCGTTTTGCCCTGGTAAGCGACGTTTGAGGCTGTGTCCACGATGCCGAAGAGCGTCCATTGCATGTGTGGTCTTCTGTTCGTTGATGAGTTACACGACGGGTGTGATCCCGTGCGTACTGAGACTTTATGCCTGTGACCATGTGGATGAGTTGAGTCGCTGCAACGCTGAATCAGGTGGGGTAGAAGGACTAGAAAAGTGGCGCTATCTAGACCAAGAAGATGTTGCGTGATGTCTATTCACATGCAAAGCGGGCTGTCAAAATGCTGCTGTGACCTGAAAGTAGAAGAGCAATTGTGAGCTGCGTCGTGAAAGTTGGAGGAGATCTACATCATGCATCAGCAGCTTGTGCGGACGCTATTTCGGAGGTCGTGGTAAGTGGTACGCACGCAGCAACGTTTCTTTCAGTCCTCACTATTCGAGGTATGTGACGATCGTAGAATGACGACGTGGTAAGGACCAGTCACGTTCGAGCATGTGGTCGCACGCTGCTGGGGATGAGGCCTTTAAACGTGGCAAGTCAAGTAACGGGCATGGTCTGAAGTGGACCAGTTTGCGATGAGGTTGCTGTCTATTACGTCAGTGTGCATACTGACGTCCGTGCTGGAGCGTTGATCTCTTTTGTCGAGTAACTGACCCACTGATCATGACGAAGGAGGATGTTCACTTTCACAACTGCGCGGGAGGCAAGTTCAAGAGTCACTGCTTGTCTCGGCTGTCGTTGTAGCCACACAAGATCGGAATCAATGGTGGTGCAGAACACATAGGCGCCGTATTGTTGCGGCGCGTTATGTTTGAGGCGGGTCAATACGCTGTGGCGATGTGGCGTCAAGGTCTTCACGGATCTGTCGTTCATTCGTGGCGTGTAATATTGGGCTTGGAACGACTTGATCCTTGTCTACGTAGATACCCTACATCTAGTCGTGACGTGGTGAATGCGTGTCGGTGCCAATTTCGTGTCTTTCACAGTAGAAACATCACCAAATGAGGTCGACGGATGTTACATATCCGATGCAGCACATGCGGTAGTTTTGGTATTGGACTTACCCAATGTACCAGTGAGTACGCCTCGATCGACGTGCATTGTTCCAGACTATTCAATCATACGCCTTGACGCAAGATGACGAACGGAAGCGATATTTCACTGATGTTGTGGAAAATAAGCTTTGATAGAGAGGCGGGTACAAAGCGTGTTCACACCTCGGCATTTTCGGACATCCAGGATCTCATACGTCCGGCCGGTTGGTTAAGTGTCTTGCTGAATGGTTTCTTGCACTCCCGATGTCGCGGTTGGAATCGCAACCGGAATGTGGATTCAGGTTCATGTGTCACCATCAGCCCATTGAAGCGTCGCTGTACAAGGAGTTTCTTGATCAACGTAGTATTTGCAAACCGCGCCCGACATCGTCAAGACGGTGCGTGGGCCACAGTCGATCGCGGCGTGCGCTGTCACAAACGACGACTGCCTTCATGTTCTTATTTTATTATACACGTCTCCGAGCAACACAAACGATGAGCGAGCGACATGTGAAGCAGGTTGATCTCATCCTCGCCGCTTTCTTGCTTCCGTTATCAGCCGTGCAGCAAAGCAAACGGTGCGAGTCAACACCTTCTGGAGCTATATCTTGCTGGGCCTGTTTGTACATCACTGCGTCAGCTCCACAGTGACTCCGCAAGTGCACAAGGAATCGCAGTGGTTGCTGCGCACACTCAAGCACGAAAGCTAGTGAGCGTCGGGTTTTTGTGGCTTTGCAGTGGCTCAAACGCTGCGACAGAAGCCAGCAATAGTAGCGAAGCAGGTGGCTTGGCTTTTGCGCACTTTGAGAAACAGGTCGCCATCTTGAGCGTTGAGGATCCCACGTGCTCTCTCGATATTTCAATCGACGCTTTTTCGTTCAGTTGCAGCGCGACTTCCGTTTCGCAACGTGCGCCTCTTCGCGGTATGTATTTACTTTCGCACGTGGGCGCCAGCTTGTCTCTGTTGTGAATAGCAGTCTTCCGATGGACCTTTGCACGATTGCGCTTAACTTCCATCGCAAACTTCTTTCTGAAGAACCACGCCGGAAAGTTTCCAAGATCTCGACCATGCGTACGTTTGAGAGTCTTTAGACGCTGGCGCAGCGCTTCCTTCGGCTTCTTTGTGCCTTTCATCTGCTGAGTTAGTGTGTCCCATAATATCTGCCGTCGACTTCGTAAGAATTGCAACGCTAGCTGAACAAGCTGTCGATCCTCGTCGTCCGTGAAGTCGGACATGTTGCTTCGCGCAAGAACATGAATACAGGAGACTTTGACGACATTCGACCACGCGTAGTCGGTCTCCATCACTCCGGGAGTAGACGTAGTAATACCGTTTTCGATCGATTGTTCAGTTGAAGTAAGTTGAAGTAAACGCGCTCCACCTTTCGGTTAGTCAGCCTTGGTATTGCATGAGCTGTTGCTTCCAGAGGAAAATGCATCCACAAAATGTGGCCCATCTTTCGAAGCTGTCCACACAGTTTATCTGTATGGGCTTACGTTGACAACTAAACACTGCAAACACGTCGAGCCACCCGTATCAAGCATGAGCATAAAGTTGCGCTATACATTATGAATCCATAACCCACGATAGCGCTCGTACTACAACGGACGAGAGAAAACGACACGTCCTTACGTGAACAGCGTCTGCCACAGAGACGGCTTGACCCAGTTGTAATCGTCTCGATGGACAGCCTTGGAAACAAACGTCAAAATAGCAAGCGTAAGATAAGTGACACAGCAAAATGAAAATAGACGTGTGATGAAAACCCTTACCTCTTCGGCCTGCGAAAGTAGCTTTTGGAATATAGCACGATGACGCTCGGAAAGCACTGGAGGTTCCGCGCTTGTACTTGTGCCTGACACGCGTTCCTTCTGCTCGCGCAGCTTCTTTTGCGCACGTTCAGCGTCAAAGAGAGATTCGAAATACTTGAGCTGGGTGTACAATGCGCTATCCGGGTATTCGAGAATGGTCGTTGCCCTGCACCCTGCGGCCGAGCAGATGTTGCCATTGCCACGAAGTGACTGCTTTTGTGTGCGCATTTTGCACATCACATCAGAGCAAATCGTCCACGCTTCGTAATATCTCTTCGTCGCTTGGCGCGTAGCAAGATGGAGACGGTTTGACAACACTGCCTGGAGGTCATCCCCTACGTTTCCATAAATGCCTTCCTGGTCGAAACCCCAAAAGTCTGCTTTACATACTGGACAAAGCAGTCCACTACAAAGTGAGCTGTCGTTCTCGGACGTACAAAACACGCCAGAAAAAGCACTAGCTATTTTACATCGATTGCAGGTGATCTCGAGATGAACGCAATCCTTGAAACGGTCAGCATCGTTCTGCAGAACACTCGGAATTGCGTCACCCCCGTCATTCTCCTCGCCAAAATGGCTGGCAGAGTGCGAGAACTTCGCCGTATCGAGACCCAAGCAGTGAGCTAGCTGCGGGCTCGATGTTCCTTCAATGTGAGCGCACAGTCGATTCACCGGTGGATGGATCTGCGATTCAAGGTACCACTCGACGTCAATATGGAGCTTTCCGCTTGCCCGCTTTACTTCGTCTGGATGGTAGGCACGACGGCCACTTCCAGGTTCTTCTTCCTTGCAAAGCACATACGGAATGTGGGTGCCTGCCCCAACCGGCTTTCCCAGAGCACGCAACGCGATTGCAACTTGCACGTGATATTGCTTCGCACGATCTGGGTATTGCTCAGGTAGCTTGTTCAAACTCTTGGTAATGACATACTGCTCAATTGGCTCCTTTCCCGAGCGCACGCGCTCTGCCACCTGTTCCAAATGCTCGTGGATGCTTTCCACTACATCGTCACGAGACTTTCCGGACAAGATGAAATCGAGTACTTCATTGCCCACCGTCTTGGAGATCACACACCAATCCCGACGCACCATGTCAAGACCCTTCACCTCCTTGTCAAAAGTGGGCTCGCAGTTGGGTCGCTCTTTGAGCACCAACGCTGCATACTTCTTTTTGTTGAGAAGGAGAATCCGCTTGAAAATGTAATCTACCTCGAGTTCCAGCAATTTGAAATGCTTGTTACACTGCGCCTGAATTTCGCGACCGATGCGCTTGGCTTCATCGAGGCTTTCTGTACGCGAGTCCACCATGATTGAATCCGTATCACCGTAAACAACGTCGTAGCCACACTCTTGCTCTGCCACCTCTTTGGCTCGCTGCAGCGTTTGTCGACCTGTCGATGTAATCAACGCAGCGATTGGCTTCGCGTAGAACCTGGAAAAGCGAAATCCCAAACAGCCGTACATCGAGTTTGCTGTCAGCTTTATAGCCTTTTGCCGAATATCGAGCAGGTTAGCCTTCTCCATGTTGCCTTCCTTCTGCTCGATTTTCAGCTGCTGTTTCACTTGTTTACGCGACTCCAGCAAGCGCTTGATGACAGCCGGCAAAATGCCCGGCTCGCTTGCACTACTCGGCAACGCCGGAATATCTGAATAAGCGCTGGTATCGGCGTCATCAAGGTTTTGGTCCGTATCGTCGTTGTTCGCGACATCTTCGTTCTCAGGTTGAGGTACCCGCTTCGATTTCTTCTTTCTCTTTGACGATGGCTGCGCATCTGGCACGTCCGTGACCAGCTGTCGTTCTACAGTGGTAAAACAAATGTTGTATTCCTACATTCACGACATTTCTTAGTTAGTCATGTTGCAACATAGGTCCTGCTCGGCCAAAACGCACTTACGCGAATGATGGATGGATACAAACTCATGAAATCCAGCAGCACTACAAAGTTGTCGTAAAGACCTTTTTTTGGCGCAAACACCATACCGCCTGCATAAGAAGCCTCTCGCTTCTTGTTCAGCTTGTCAGCCTCACTCCTGCTTTTGTACTTTTCCGGCACAATAAACTTGTTCTTCGACCGGCTAAATTCGTGAAGCAGCAGATACTCGATTCGCTCTGCACGTTTGTTCGCCTCGAGCGTTCGCGTCCATAAGTAACCACACAAGTTGGATAGATGTTTCGATAGCGGTAGAATTTCAAGCTTGTGCATTAGGTGCAATACGAACATCGCATCGTCTAATGTGTGCCGCAAAAATTTGACAAAGTTATCAGGACCGCCGAGAAGGATTTGAGGGATCTCGGTCATCTCGACATCCAGTCGCTGCTTGTGCAGGTGCTCTTCTACCAAAAACGAAAGCGTGTAATTGTTTTGTGAAGGGAGCAACTCCTTTGACGACACGTACGTATCGCAAAAAAGTCGTCCGTTCACCATGTCGTCCATCCTGTACTCGTTCCATCCTTCTCCTACATTCATCGGGTTCAGACGACCACGACGAAGTCGTGTCAGCTTTGACCACAACCCGCCAAGTTTAAAGTTGTCAATTCGCGAAATGAGCAACTCCAACCCGTACTTGTGCAAGTTGTGACCGACAATGACGTCCGGGTCTTCAAGCTGAACACGCGTGAGGAAGTAGCTCAGCATTACGCGCTCGTTTATTTCCACACGCAGACGCTCACTGTTTATACTGAGCACGCCATTTTCTGCTTTCATACCAAACCGGTCATCTTTCTTAGCTGCCTGTGCGTATGACTGGGGAAATCCGTTGTTTCCGTCTAGCGGTCGGATCGCCGTGAAGTGCGACAATGTGTGACGTACGCCGTTTCGACCCTTGCCGGCTCCTTCGGCACTGATTCCAGTCTCTGTGATGGCAGAAAGCGCTACTATCTCATGTTTGCCAGTCATCGGGTGGCAAACGCTTTTCAGACTGATGCTCATCACCGTAAGAGGAGGAGCAGCCATGCCGCTCGCGATGGGTCGCACATTCTTCGGATCGAAAGTCTCGAACTCTGCCTTGCAAAAACTGACGCCCTCGGAGCACTTGCGAACATTACTGATTTCAACCCACCCTGGTCCCAGGAGCCGGCGGGTGAGCAGAAAGTTTTCCAACGGTCTAGTAAACGCACCACAGATACGAGAAAACGTCTTTCCGCCACGCGAGCAATAGTCAGATGGTGGTGCAGGGTATTTACTCGGGTATTTGACCTTCAAGTACAAGTTTTTGCCACGCGGGATGCCGGCTTCTTCGAACGCATAGTTGCGCTCTACGAGCTTGGTCCTAAACCCCTCCTGATCACGTTTACTAGTGATACAGGAAGGAACCAGTACGTTGTGAATTTCCTCATGCATCTTCATCCAAGCCTCCTGCTGCTCATTTTTACTAAGCTCGACCAGCGAAGTGCCTCTCGGAGCAAGGTACATGTACCGTTGCAAGTTGTTCACGACTACGCAGCAACTCTTGTACGTGGGAGACTTATGCGGACCTTCGGGACTCGAGATCTTCATTTTGCCGATAAGATAGATCTTTCCCGGACGCTCACGTACTTCAACCGCGTCCATCCAGTACATCTGGATCGAATCTGCTGCCACAGGTGGTGCTTCTGACTCAGCATCTTCTACTGAGCTAGCGTCCGTCATTGTTACATCATTCGACGGGTCGCCACCAACCTGCCACCATTCCGTCACTTCATTGGACGGCACAATAGCCGTCTCCATCCCATTAATCTCTTGGTGAGTGGGCTCCACGGGAGCAGCTAGAGCTCGCGCAGTCGGTGCTGACGGCTGCAATCGTGCTTCTCGAGCTTTCTGCAGCATCCGCTCTCTTTTGCTCATCACCGGCTTGTCCAATTCCACATGATCGCTCTCCTGCTCATCTTTATTCTGTTGACGCCCTTCCACGTGATTGCAATCATCGTCATCGACCGCCACATCGTCCATTCTATCATCCATCTCCTCGTGTTCGTACAGCGTCTCGTCTGATGCTTTCCTCTCCCCCATCGTCTCGTCTCCATCTCGACTTGACGCCGTCGCGGTTGCAGCCATTGCCGAGACGTGCTCACGCTCACTTGACGCAGCCGCTGCCTCTCTCGATGCATACGCCAACGACCCGGTCGAGTACGCCACGGGCGCGACACAGCGCTGCCGCGACGCGGTCGGGTTGCTCGTCAAGTCGTCCAACAGACTGTCGAGATCCATGTCATACTTAGCATGGGGCCCAGCGCCCGAGCTGCGCGGTCCAGCTTGCCCGGTCCGGTCCTTGAGCGGTCCCATCGACGACTTGGAGAAGAAGAGGTTGGCGATCTTCGGGCCGTCTCCACCTGCCCCTCCTCCCAGCTTGGCGCGCTGCATCTTCTTGGCACGTCGTACATACGACGACGACAGTGCGCCGGCACTGCGTTTCTTGCCGCTCGCGTCGTCGCTGTCAGTAGTGAGACTGTTCTTGCGCTTGTAATGGCTCTGTCCTGCAGCTGCTGCCTCGTCACCGTCACCGTCCGACTCAAAGAACTGCTCCTCGCCGTCGTCGTAGTACCCCATTTCCCCGTCGTCATTTTCCACGAATGGGAGGCCTTGACGTCGTTGGCGCACCAGATCTTCGTACTCTTGCTCCGTCACGGCCTTGTAGATACTGTCCTCATGCGGCTTGTACTGGGCCACGCGAGAGCTGGACGCCGTGGTGGACGCAGCATCGCCGTCACGCATGCGCTTGATGTCCTCCAGCGCCTGCTTCCGACTCGAGCTGCTGCGCTGAGCGCCCACACGACGAGAGCTCATGAGGTCCGTCGAGTGTCAATGCCGTCGCTCCGTGCGGAATGGTGAGTGATGAAAGGGAAACGAACGAGACAATCGATACCTCTTCATACGTGATACAGCGAGTTCGACGGGTATCGCTGTCGCCATCGTTTAGGAGTCGAGGATATGATGATATGTCGGTCTGTTTCCGATGGTGAAGTTGCGTTTCAGCCAATGGTAGCAGTTGGCGGCGCGCTGTTCCCGCCACAGCATGGCGAAAAAGACTGGAGGAAAAAAGAGTGTTAAAACACAACCTGCCTGTCGAAACTCCGTTTGTACACGTTTTTCGCCACCGTCTATGGCGAGTTTTGTCGGGCAAAAAGACGCACAAGCTTAGGTACGCACCGATGTTCGGCGCACATTCGCGCAACACGCACAGCCGTCGCGGCCATGGTGCTCATCAATTGGTTGGTTGACGTCCAGTCGGGCACCGTACCATGTCGTCGTCGTCGTCGCTGGAGCTGCGCAAGGCGCTGTCCAAGTACGCGCTGCCCGATGCCAAGGAGCTGAACTACCTGCGCGCTGCCGACCCCAGCAGCTCCTACCGCGCGTCGTTCTTTCGGCTCCAGACGGACGAGCTCTTGGCTGCCGCGGGGCGCAAACTGGGCGCCAAAGCTGCGTCCGGTCTCCAGACGCTGTTGTTCCAAGTGAAAGAGGTCGTATACAACATCGAAGACCAGCAAGTGACGCAAGATGGACTGCAAGCGCGCGGCCTTTTCGTGCGCAATCACGTCAAGCGGAAAGAGATTGTCTTGCCGTTCCAGCGCCCCAGTCGTCTGGACGTGGTGGGGAGTTACATCCTACAGACAATGGCATACGCCTCGACAAACCGGTCGTCCGACTATGGCACTTTGACTGTCGATGTGACAATTGAGATGCCCTCGACGTGCTTTGTGCCGAAGGATTTTAGTAATTATCGGTACTTTGACAAGCGCAACTTGTACCTGGGCGTTCTAGCGTCCGAGTTGCAACGTCAGTGCGACATTGTGCAGCACGTGAAGCTGCAGACGTGGCACGGCGAGTATGAAAAGCCGGTAATGATGTTGACGATCACGCCTGCGTTCTTGAGTCAGCATGGATTGAAAGGCGTGCGAGTACGTGTGCGCCTCATACCTGTCATCACGACGGAGCATTTCAAGCTGGCGAAGCTGGTTCCATCGAAGAACAATGTCAAACACGAAGTGGATATGACGGAACATGAGATGCAGCAGTGCAGTACGCCACTGTACAACACTTCGATCTTGGAAGACATGATGGTGCGACAGCACACAAAAGAGCTGCATTTGGTGTTAAAAGAGGCCCCGCACTTTGCCGAAGCGTGCATTTTGGCCAAAGTGTGGCTACGACAAAGAGGGTTCCACAAAGCAATGGACTCGGTCAACGGTTTCTTGCTGTCCATGCTGCTGCTGTACTTGTATCGGACGAAGCGGATCCATGTGCAGACGCCGTCGGACCAAATGTTCAAGGTGCTGATGCAGTTCCTTGCTATTCACAAGCTCGAGGACGATCCGCTGCAGTTTCCGCCAGCTGAGGACGGCGTGGTACTCACGGCTGAAGGAATGCAGACCTTTCGCGATTCATACGACGTAGTGTTTTTGGACTCGTCTGGCCGCTTGAACCTGTTTAGTCGTGTCACGCGAGGTGCGTGGGAGGAGATTCGACATGCTGCTGCAGAGTCGGTGAAGTTGGTGCAAGACTCCACATTGGATAAATTCCGATCGCTATTCATCACGAAGCATGAGTTTTGGACGCGATACGATCAGTACTACTGGTTTCCTGCGCCTGCTCCCGTGGACGACCATACCGACACGTACACTGTGGAAGAAAAGCGCACTATCAATGATATGGGCCTTGACCAGTTCTGGCTGCGCAAGCTCATGTCAGTGCTATCAAGAGCCTTGACGGATCGTGTGAGTCTTGTTCGACCCATTGCTGAGGACAGTGTCGAGTGGGGCATAAACGATGACTCGCTTCCGATACCACGCAAGGTGGCAGTTGCACTGCGTATAAACTCGGACAATGCGTGGCGGATTGTGGACAAAGGCCCACCGGCTGATGATAAGATAGCTAGCACTCGATTCCGTCAGTTCTGGAGAGGCAAATCTGAACTGCGCCGGTTCAAGGACGGCGCCATTATCGAGGCTGTGGTGTGGGACGGATTTGGCGCCGATAACCGCCACTGCGTGCTGGACGCGATCGTGAACTACATTGTACCTGCGCACTGCCCCCAGCTTACGTCGTTGCAGATTAAGACTTCGCACGCAGCTTTGTACTCGGTACTTGGCGTCGAGGAATCGTCAGTTTCGGAGAAAGCAAAGACCTCCGATGCGTCATTTGAATCGACAATGAACTCCGTGTCAAAATTGTGGGTCGTTTTCAACAGCTTTGCAAAGACATTGCGTGCGTTGGAGACGTTGCCGCTCAAGGTCTCAGATGTTCTACCAGTGCACCCTGCGTTCCGCTACACGAGTTTGTTTCCTGTCCAACCGCATCCGCTAGCTTACTCGAAGAACGAGAAGATTGATGCTGCGCCAATGGATCACGTGAACACTGTGCTGGAGCCGTTAGTTGTCAACGTGAAGTTCGAGCGTTCGTCGGCATGGCCAAACGAGAAGGAGGCGTTGCTGTTTGCAAAGATTGGATTTTACGTGCACCTTGGCCACGAGCTTCAGTCGCGCCTAAACCTCCGCTGTGAGGTGGCCAAGGACTGTGTGGACGTCTTTATCAGCGGCTACGTCTTTCGCTTGATAATTCGCAGCGAAAAAGAGCTGAGCGTTGTGACAGGTGCAGCAGGAGTGAAGAAGCTTGCGCTCGTAAACTCGCCCGAGTATGTGACCACCAAGCGTGAGGCCGACTATCTATTGAAGCACGCAAGCACGGTGCATGCACTACACACGAAGAACACATCATTTGGCCCTACCGTTCGGCTTGTCCAACAATGGCTAGCCGGTAAGGCGTTGAGCAACGTGTTGTCTATCGAAGCGGTCGAGCTTCTCGTGGCCGACGTGTTCCTGACTCCTGCATCCACACCTCGCTCGGTTTTGTCCAGCTTCCTCCGCTTCTTGAAGCGGATCGCAAAATTTGACTGGCAAAATGCTCCGTTCATCGTAGACTTGACAAGCTCTCTGGACGAGGACAAGCGCCGTGAGATTCTGAAACGCTTCGAAGCGTCCACTTCGAGTCGAAGTACTCACCCTGCAATGTTCATTGCCGCTGACTACGAAGACATGGACTGCCTGTCAAGCTGGACGCGGTTTACGCCTGATAAGGTCGTGGTGCAGCGGCTGGTCATGTTGACTCAAGCTTCGTACGACATCCTAGTGTCTTGGCTAGCTTCGGGTGCGTCATGTTCTGGCTGGAAAGCGGCTTTTGCGTCGTCGAAGATGGAATTTGATGCTGTGCTCCAGCTTGCGACGGAAAACCTTCCGACCAAACGAGTTCGCGTCGACGGCAACAAAAAGCACCCGTTTATGGCACCGGTGTACAAGAACATGGACCTGAGCGCCGTTCCAGTCATGATCGGGTTCGATCCTGTGCACGACTTGCTGCAGGACCTGGAGCGACTGTATGGCCGCTTTGCTCTGTTCTTTGTGAACGGCATCGACACGACGGAGATTCTGGTCACGTGGAAACCACAAGCATTTTTGCCAACGAAGTTTCGCGCAATCACCGCCAACTACCAGATCCCACTGCCTCATGACGGTGCAGCAGAGGACGAAGAGTCGACTCGCTGCGTTGCTATACCCAACATTTTCGAGATCTTGTCCGACATGCAGAGTCTCAGTCACGGCATGGTCGTGAGTATCGCAATGCAGCCGTTCGAAAGCATGTAAGGTCAGTGCGTCTTATTGCTGCTAACAAATTAGACTCTATTTCGATTCTTTTTCTATGTCTCGGGCTGTCGGATTGCAGACCATTTGTGTCTATTCATGTGACACTTTCCTTCCGTGGAGATCGTCGCCTGGGCATGAAAGTAGGATGTCATGCATCGACTGCAAGATGTAAGATGCATTCGGTAAAGCCGTTGAGGATACCAAGCTGGTGCTGACTGGAAAGCTAGAGACACCTCGATGATGATCGAAGGATGATCGAGCTGTTGGCAACTCAGTTCCTGAAAGCTCAGCTAGGGCAGCAGTCGCGGTTTTGCTCGAGCGAGTCGGCGTTGCGTGCCGATAGTGTTGTGGCTACCCTCGTATTCGAGGGACCTGTGGGTATATGCGACACATACGCACACAAACGGTACGAACAAAGCCGCAAGGTGCTGGCGCAGATGTGCACAGGGAAGCTTCAGAGATCTCAATGCACCGCTGCAAGACGAAAAGTGGCAATAACAGTAGACGCGCCGAGGCCTGTCTTATCGTATCGGGAACCATGCAAATGACGGCAGCTCGCCTTCATACGTCGACACTGTCGTCTGCATCTCATGCAGGCGATCGAAACGTTGAGCCACTCAATCTTTGGACTGCTTGGCTGCCAGGGTGCGCAGGTACTCCATGTCGTATTGACTGCGGTCGAACTCACACTTGTCTGTCGCTTTGTCAATCGTCGTCAGCGCCAACTCGTATTGCTCTTCGGTATGCTCAGAACCTGCAGCAGAGACCAAACATTTTGCTGTTCTAAAGCAGTCGAGGGCTTCCTTATAGTTGTGTAGCGCGTGGTACAACTGGCCTTTGCGGACATGTGTGATTGCACGTTTACCGTTCAATCGAATGGCTTGCTCACAGTGAGCAAGCCCCTGCACGTAATTTCGCTGCGTCTCGAGACAGCCACACGCGATATTCAAGTGACACGAGATCTCGAGCTATCAAGCCACAACTAGTTAGCGCTACCGTGCCCATGTACGCCAGAACTTTCACAAGCCCACATACCTCTTGAAGCACAGGTAACACTGCGTCATTGTTGGTAGAGCTTGTCTCTGGTCGTGCTCGCACTGCGTCTAAGCATCCTAGCACAATCTGAAACTTTGTCGCTGAATAGCCATAGAACCCCTCGACAGCCAACACGGTGGCCGCTTCAAACACCAAGCGCACTTGCTCGAGTGCCTCTTGCAGTGTCCGTCCTTCAGTGCATGCCGATACCGCCCTCTGGATCGTGTCCTTGTCTGCTCATCCCAGCAAACCCCAATGTCAATAACATCCCAACATATCTTTCGCATCATCGATCGCAACAGCTTACCACTAGACGCGTCTCCTTCAACAAGCAGCTTTGTCTTGACGCGTTCCAGTGCCTCTTTTGCCTTCGCATGTTTCGTATCCTGACAAGAATCCGTATCACTCAGCGTTCCACCAAAGAGCACATGTTCATCTCACAAAGGCAATGGGACGCACCATAGTTGCAATCCGGTTGTAATGCAGCATTGCCAGCAGCGGCGCCTCCATCTTTTCAAATGCTTCGCCTCGCTTAAGCCATGCAGTCCACTGCCCATCATCTCGAAGCAAAACTTCCTTGAACGCCTCTGTGGCTGCAGCCAGTCGATTTTCTCCAAGTTCGCACGTGCCGATTCCTTCGTATACGTCCTTGTAGAACATCTTGATGATCGCCAGCAGATCGTTTGCGTTCGGGAGCGAAACGTTCGCGTTCGGCTTCTGACTGCTCACGTGTTTGTCGCCGCAACATGGTCTCGCGACTTCGTGGCCGCGGGTGTTATCCTGTCTTGAAACAGGATACGTATCCTGCTCGCTCGATGTTGCAAGCCATGTCGCCTCGACGGTTTGCAGCGACGGCGCTAACGCCTCCAAGTCCGCCGTGGCAGCTAAAGCTGTCTCATACACCTTTCTGGCTGCTTTCCAATCCTGCTTTTCGTGAGCGATTAACCTGTCTCCTCGTCGACGATTCGTCATAATCTGTTGCAGCAGCTCGTGCTTTCGGGCGAAAAGCTTCGCCTGCGCCTGCAGCTCAGCAGCTTCCGCAGCAGCTTTCTCCGTGTCAGCATCGACACCTGCAGCTCCTCTACCCGCCTTTTGACGGCCGCCTTTGCGGGTCTTCCTCTTGATCTTCAAAGCCGCTACTGCAGCTTGGGCCGCCAAGATATCGGCGGAGTGCTGCGCTGCCTGCGTCGCCGAACTCTCGACGTTTTCCTTGGCCTGCAGCTGTTTCTTCACCTGTTTCTGCTGTGCTTCACGCTTCTGCGCTTCGTCGACACGCTCGAGCTCCTTCTCCACGTCAAACGTGGCCCAGGACGCGTACGACGTGCGGTGCATCGCGACGCACACGAAAGACAGGATACCGAACTAATGCACCATTTCATCAATCAGAGCCACATCCCAAAAGCAGCATACGGACACTGTCAAAACACGCATCCGACCAACGTGCACGATCCGATTCATCATTACCTTAAACGTGAGCTACAGCGTGCTACCCTTATGCTGCAAAACTGCCCAACAGAGCGTGTCTTATCGCTGGTAGCAGCATACCAAACCCGCACTTCGCCCACACGCTCAGCTACATACTACGCGAGCTACACAGCACATGTCCTCCTCTTCTCTCCTTCCTCCCTCCACTTTCTCTCTCCACTTCGCTCTCTCTGCCCACAAGTCACTGCGCAGACGCATTGTCCACGATCCGACTGGCCACCGCGTGGGTCACGTCCCGGCCAATATCCCTCGCGACGCCACTAATGTCGGCCATGACCGACCCGCTGCTCGTCACGGCTTCTTTCATAGCGCGATCAATACGCGACTCGTGCGACTTGAGAAACGGCGCGAGGAAGTGCAGAAACAGAAACGACGCGCCCAGCGTCGACGGCATAAAGAGCCAGAGCAGAAAGCCCAACTTGAACGCGTAGTAGAACGGGATCCAGTAGAGCAGAAAGTCGGCAAAGACCTCGACGAGGATGAAACAGGCGTAGACGACCCAATACGTGAGCCACTGGACGTCGTCCTTCTTGTCGCGCGACTCGATCGCTCGGAACGAACAGAACGCGGGGTACACAAAGCCCACGACGTTGCAAATGAGCCCCGCGCCAAACCCCACGAGCAGCAGCAGCAGCACAAGCGCTGCGCCGCTCGCCACGAGGTACAGCTTCTCGACGCCCGTGGCCTCTTGGGCCGACTGCAGCACTGGGAACTTTTCCAGGTCTTTGGCCCACTTGTCCATGTACACCTGCACCTTTTCCATACTAACCGCTCACGCAACAGCGGCAGCAAAATACGTCGAGATAGAGAGCGCTTTTCAAGAGTGAGCGGAGGGGTAGTCAGTCGATTGGTGCAGTTGGGGTGACGCGGACCTGCGGAAGGCGATACGCTGCCGTGCAAACCGGACGCGACTTGAATTTAGGTGTGAGCCTGTGGGTGCTTGCGTCGGCTGCGGAATTTGCTTTCGGATCGAAAGAGAGGCTGTTTCTGCGGGGAAGCAGGTGGGGGATAAACACACGCGAGCAATGCGTGACCTATATCGGATTACAGAGGGATGTCGGAGTCCCGGTTGGGGCGATGGATGTTGACTGGAAAGATTAAGTAGCAATCAAAACGTGCACACACGACGTTGCCGAGCTCCGACCTGGGTCGAAAGCGGTTGATGACTCGATCGCATCATCTTTTTCTGTGGGGTTCACACCAACTTGCAACGCCAGTTAAGGTGGCTTCGAGGTCTCTAAAAGGCTTTCACGAGCAACTCAACCAAGTCTCCCAAATCTTTTAGGGCACCATACAGATCGCACGGCAGCGCTAACGTGAGAACATGGATTTTGACTTTTGGCAGCAGCCAAGGGCGATGTAGGGTAGAAACGCTAAGAAGAAGGTAAAATGGAAAGTGAATTATCACCTAGCTAGGTCCTTAGTTCGTCTCGTTGTACTACTCTAAGCCTATCGATATCGACTCTACGATGTCAGTAACAAAACGATAAGTCGATCCCATCGTTACACACAATCGTGCACTTTCGTCCTCGCCATGTGGTCACTGGCACCCCATACAACAACATTTCCAATACCCCCCCCTCGACTAGAAGTCTCTAATCTTGGATTTGTCAACCAACATCTCAAACTTCTTCGTCGAAATTGGTTTGGTCAGGAAGTCTGCTAGCTGTGACTTTCTTTCGGTATACTGTAGCTTGAAATCTTGCCCTTCACTTGTTCGCGCACAAAATGGTATCTGATGTCGATATGTTTCGCTCGACTTTGATAGCCGTCGTTCTTAGCGATAGCGATTGTACTCTGGTTGTCTTCATGAACCGTGGTAGCATAATCAATCCGCACTTGTATCTCCTTGAGGATACTTCTTGTCCACAGCACCTCCTGTAAACACAAAGAAAGAGCCATATATTCTGCTTCTGCCGTGCTCAGTGCCACGCTCTGCTGCATCTTCGACTTGAAAATCACAGGTGCGCCATTAATCATGACCAAAACGCCCGAAATCGATCTGCGATTGCACTTGTTGCTTGCCCAGTCCGCATCCATGTACGCGCTCAGGTGAAAGTCACCTGACACTCCTTCACATCGAATTCCTTTGCTCTGCGTCGTCTTCAGATATCTTAACACTCGAATCGCTGCATTCCAGTGCTTTTCATGCGGAAATTGCAAATGAAGACTCAGCTGACATACTGCATACGCAATATCTGGTAGTGTGCGTGTTGCCACATACAACAGAGATCCCACTAACGACCAGTACGGTCGATTCTTCATTCTGTTGTCAATTTTGTCCATCTTGACCATCTTGCCTTTCAACACTTGGATTTGACACCGCTTTTGCATCAACTTGATTGAATTTATCGACCAATCTTGATATACACGATCCTTGAATGATATTGAAACTTCGATTGTCACGCAGGTACTTGACTTCGATGCCAAGAACGTAACGAACGCCCCCCAACATCTTCAACTTGAAACGACTTGATAGTTGAGCTGCCACATCGTCCATAACTCCAGTAGCTTTATCCCCAAGTAATAGGTCGTCCACATATAATACAGCGTAAATCCACGAGCCGTTGGTCTCTTTAACGAAGATGCATGAGTAGGCCGCGCATGAGGAGAACCCCATCTCCACGAATACACACGAAATTGTCTTGTACCATGTTGCGGCCGCTTGTTTTAGCCCATACAGGCTTCGATTCAACTTAAGCACTTGATCACGTTCTGCACGAACACCAAGAGGAGGGTATACATATACCTCTTCGTCCAATATGCCATATAGAAAAGCAGTGTCGACATCATGTCGATGAATCAACATCCTCTTTTGACAGCACACAGCCAAAAACACCCGTTTTGAGTTGAGGTTTGCCACCGGTGAATATGTCTACATATAGTCAACCCCATACGTCGGCCTGTAGCCAAGTGCTACAAGACGTGTCTTGTATCGAATAATTTCACCGAGCTCGTTTCTTTTGAGTGCTAACACTCACTTGGTTCCAACCACTTTTTGACTTGGACGCTGTGTTTGAACTGTCCAGGTGTCCTTTTCCTTCAATGCCTTCAGCTCAGCTTGAATGTCCTTGTACCAATCATCGCGATGAGGTGGCTTAATGGCTTCTTCGTATGTCGCTGGGGTCTTGAACGCTGCACGTGCTTGCTCATACCAAATGTGCAGTCTCTTTGTGCCTTTTTCTTGACACGCTTCTGATCTGTCATAAATGCCCTCATCTGCACCACCCACTTGTACTAACGTTTGAGATTGTCCATGTTGCATCGATTCGGATGGAACCATCGTGGTTTCTTGCGATGCTTGAACACTTGTCCGTCGACTTGGTTGTATCACCAACTGCCCTTGTCTTGACACTTCTTCAATTGATTCTTGATCTTCATCAATCATCACCACATCATCAATTTCAAACATTGGGTCGTCATCATTAGATCCCACGTGTCCATGGATCTCGTCGCTGCGTCTCGATGGTAGAGCAATCGTTGTTGTGCGCCTATCTTGCATGTGTCTCTCTTCTTGAACACTGTGAATGTCCTCCATTTCTATGTACATGGCTCCCGTGACTCTTGGATGCTCTAAGTCGATAGAAACAACGTCGTCATCATAAACGGCACGGAATTCTTGGTCACTTGATCTGCAGTACTTTTGCACGTACTGAGGTGGTGTTCGCTCATCAAATTTAGCCGATCTTGTGTGTGTCACCCTCTTGGAATCTTCATCCCATATTCGGAACCCCTTGATGTGGTCCGAGTAGCCAAGAAAAATACATCGAATTGCCTTTTTGGTCAGCTTGGTCCTCTTTGACTTGTCTACATGTGCATTTTCCTTTGACCCAAATACACACATATCAGAGAGATCGGGTTTCTTGCCGAAAAATCAACTCAAATGGAGTTGTAGACGGTTGACTAGCACATGAAAATCGTTTAGTCATATAGAATGTTCTGTTTATCGCCTCAGTACACCAAACCTTGTCCACTTGCATATGACTGAGCATTCCTCTGGCCCGCTCAGGCAGTGTCCGGTCCATGCGTTCGGCCAGTCCATTCTGTTGTGGCGAATATGGTACTGTCGTCTGGTGTACTATATTAAATTTGCCGCACATACCAGCGAAACGTCTGTTGACGTATTCCGAGCCGTTGTCCGTCCTGATACACTTGATCTTCTTTGACAGTTGATTCTCCATAAGCGCCTTGTACTCGATGAAGCGATCTGTCAATTCCGACTTGTTGTCAATATAGTATGCGACTATATATCTTGAAAAATCATCAATAAACTTCACGACGAACCTCGATCCTCCTTAATGCTTCGTTTCCATAGGTCCCATGACATCACTGTAAACCAACTAAAACACTTCCTTGGTTTTCACCTGTCCGTAAGTTGATTTTGGAAATGTCTTGACGGTCGCTCTGCCCATGATACACCCTTCGCAGATCTTGACGCCATCTTCAGCGCCTCGATTCTTCTTGGTCTTCAAAATATCGACACAGCTTGCCATATCCTTCATCATCTTCGTTGGCAGGTGACCTAACCTTGCATGCCACACCTAAAGATCAGCCGCTCCTGATCCTCCACTTGATCTTTCCTCTAGATTAGTCTCTTCGCATATGCTGGCAGACTCAGCCGGACTGCAATCTAAGACGTACATCTTTTTCCGTCTTGGAACTTGAGCAATCGCTTCCGCTTTACTTCTGATCTGAAAACTCAGATCTGAGAAGATCACTTGAAGTCATTTTCGTGATAGTGCCGACATTGACAACAGCCTCCGGTCCAGGCCTGGCACCCATAGTGTCTCTTCTATCCCGATCACTTCCCCATTCTTGAGTTTCACACGCACTGTCCCAACACCTTTTTCCTTCACTTCGCTTCCGTCTGCTATGGTCATCATGATTGGGTCCTTCAGTGAGTCTAGTTTCGAAAACTCATCTCTGCCTGTACACATGTGGCTACTCGCCCCAATATCCAGTAAATATCCAGCAGACGTCCGACAAGACGCAGTAAATGATCTCTCTTCTCTAGATCGCCCTGTACCCTCTCGTGCAACCTTGCAATCTTGACGCTTGTGCCCATATTTGTTACATCGGTAGCATCTTCCTGAGAACTTTTCACCTCTCGAACTTTATCCCCCTTCATGTCGGCGCGGTCATTTCTTGTACTTGGAAGTATGCGTACTTTCAGTGCGACTTCTTGGTGCTCTGTCCTTTTCATTCCATCGTACTCCCGTCTCAGCATTTCCTTTGCATGAAACAGAGTCATTCCGGGCGTGTTCTCAATTATATTGACGATGGGGTCATAGTCTCTCATCAGACTACCCAAAAGGATGACCAAATGCTCCTCCGGTGAGATCTCTTGTCCAACCGCTTGCATAGTCATGCACAGCTCGTCAAATCTCATGAAGTGATCCATGGTGCTTCCTCCCTTGGGCAACTTGAATTCATGAAGTTGCCATCGCAGTTGCACCCGATTGTGCATACTTTGTCGCAGGAAGAACGTCTTCAGAATGTCCCACGCTTCTGCCGTTGACTTCGTCGTGCGCACCATTGACTGAAGATTTTTGCTGATCATTGTAGACACAATCGCAAAGGCCTTCATGTCGTTGACTTTCCAAGTTGACGCGGCTGCGTCTCCTTATCCCGGGTCTTTCATAGCGTATAGATGCTCTAACAATACCTTCTTTGTCAGCCTCATCCTCGCTTTCAACTCCCACACGAAGTAGTTGTCTTCACGAAGAATGTCGCCCGCGTCCGGAGTGGTTGGGCTCATAAATTTTTGACTTTTGGCAGCATCCGGGGGCGACGTAGGGTAGAAACGCTAAGAAGAAGAAGGTAAAATGGAAAGTGAATTATCATCTAGCTAGGTCCTTAGTTCGTCTTGTTGTACTACTCTAAGCCTATCGATATCGACTCTCGATGTCAGTAACAAAACGATAAGTCGATCCCATCGTTACACACAATCGTGCACTTTCGTCCTTGCCATGTGGTCACTGGCACCCCATACAACAGCACTACCAATAATGGATCATGCTACCCAGGCTAGCTGTGCAGGTATTGAGGACAGAGCTGTCGTACATAATATTGCTATTTCAATTCGCATTATCAGGTAAACATTGTTGTTGAAGATGCAGAAGTGGTGTCGCAGCAACGGTACCTGCTACTGAGAGGTCAACACATGTGGAAGATATTCTACGAGGATATTAGACTAGAACGTATCTGTCGAGGACTTTGACACTTGTGTGCAACAAGAATTAGTAGGCACGTGAAGGAGATCGAGGGAAAACAAGAGGGACATGCGAGTCGAGAGTCCTACTTAATATACCACTTTGGTATTGATAGAGAACCATCGGCGCTAACTCAACCGCTGCACATCACATCGAAGTGTATGTCCTGCGTATGTCCACCACCGCATGTATCCCCCGAACGGCCTTTTGTCGCAAAAAGCATAGTGCGGAGTTGCAATCAACTGAGGACAGATCCACCGACTCGATCAGTAACTGGTACGAAGATTTGCTTTCAAAAAGCGTATCCTGGCAAATAAACAACTATATTCGGGGAGGGGAGGAGGATTCCTATTGCTAAGCCCCACATTTTCATTTATCGATTCGCTTAGTCGTTATGAGACCAGAGCTCGACACACCTTGATACACGGAGCCGTCAAAGAAGTACAGTTTACTGCATCCAGCGAGTGAAGAAGAAAAGGTGATGACGTTGCTTGGCCTCAGCATAGACGAGCTTGGTGGTGTGGTTAACCTCGTTGTCGTCATCAATTACCCCAAAAGCAGACGTAAAACGCCAAAGAAGAAGCGCTAATCCTGCACGACCTGCTTGCTTAGTGGATCAAAATGGCACCGGGGTTTGTGAGCAAATTATGTTCGGAAGTCAACGTCCACGTAAAAAGAGGGGCAGAAAAGATCAGGGCTTTTAACAACTCCTATCGCGCAGTGAAAGGTCGATGAAGGGACGCGTACGCGAGGATCATCTTAGCATTGTTGCTGTGTCTGGCAGCTTACACATGAAGCGTAGTTGCATTGATTCAATGAAGTTGTTTCGATTGAGGGGTAGATAGATATATATAAGCTTGTTTCAGTTGTTGCTGATGGATCAGATGGTATTGACACACTCGTCAAAACAAACCCGTTTCAATCAAGTCTCGCCTTCGTACATACGACACGCTGCTACGACGCCCAGCCGCGCCACTTACAAGTTGTTGTTTTCGTCTTTATGTTGTTGGCTAATGGCGATCAAAGCACTTGCAGTGTCCACCTGTTTTTATAATGGTGCAGGGTTTGTTAGCCACTTTTTCTACCAATTAACATTACTCTTGCGAGAAGAATGCTGCACCCTCTGATTATAAAACTATGACATTGAGCATCGGTGCCGTGCACAGGCTTCTTTATGGCTTTGACGACGACTTTCATACACATCATTATGGTCTATATGTTGCCCGGCGCCAAAGTGATTGCGGATTCCGTATGAATGCTATTTGCAGCCTTATTTTATCGATATTGAGTGAGTGGCCTGTACTGCAATCAGCAAGGCTATTTGCTATCCGCATAAACATCCACATGAGAAACGAGAATGCTCACACTGCTAGAACCGGCGTTACTCATTCAACCTGATTAAAGACAACTTACCCAATATCAATGAGCCAACAACCTAATCTTGTAACAGTTCGTGCAACCAGTGCGTGGTTCAACTTGTGATCTGCAGTCTGAGTTGCAGCGACTCAACTCAGTTTCGCGTGATCACAAACATATAGTCTCAGTACGCACGGGATCACACCCGTCGTGTAACTCGTCGACGAACAGAAGACCACACGTGCAATGGACGCTCTTCGGCATCGTGGACACAGCCTCAAACGTCGCTTACCAGGGCAAAACGAAACATGAGCGAGGTAGGCCATCGAAACCGAATCTGATGCGCGACAATTACCAATTCAAGGCAGGTCGACAGTTACCAATTCAAGGCAGGTACAGGGCGTTTCACGCCATCCCCATCTCACACCGAAAGCTGAGAAACGACACCCGAAGTCGATGAGTCTGGTCATACGATCAAATTGATACCGCAAAAGCAGTGTCCGTGAAAGGGTGTGCTGAACCCCACGCGACCATAGCCGGCAAAGACGTGAATGATGCCAAATGCAGTATTGCGCTTGCCACAACTAGTCCATCCCGACAAGTGCCACGTTATAACATCTCGCCACGAAGCAACCATCAATACCGCACAGCAGCACAGACGACCTCCACTTGCAGCTGAGTAAACCTGAGTCGTAGCTGCTTCGTTCTTACTATCAGCGTCTGCGTCCCACGTAGCGGATCCACAGCAACGTACGCGTCTCATAGCTGATACCGCACAAACATATTCGCAACGCCACATCACTTTCGTGAAGCAAGTCCTTGCAAAAAGGAGCTCAAGTCATTCTTGACAGCGACAACAGCGGCATCCGGCTGTGCAATCTTCTTCTTTTTCTTTCGCTTCTTCGGTCCGTCCAACAGCTTTCTCGGCGAACCCGGTGGTGCTACTGCTGCAAACATGCTCGACGGAGCAAAGGTCAGCTCCACGTCCGTCGTTGATGTCCCCGCAACATTCGCTGAACAGTCGTCGACTTGACCTGCGACACTGTCATTTGTGGTCCTCTTGTGCAACTCGGGAGCATGTGCTGCCGATGGCTGACCCTCTTCCCTGCGTTTCTTCAATTTGGCTTTGTAGACTACCGACGTCCCCGGCCGGTCGTTGCGATGACGACATCGGTGGCACGTGACTCGCTGCAGGTGTTGTTGACACACATGACGTCAACAAAAAGACAGTGTCAAAAACGCCATCCACTCCTTTTCCCAGAATCCAATTGCCACAACATCAACGAACCACAATTGTTGACAGACGCTCACGAACCAGACGTGGCCCCTTGTGGTCACGATTGTGCATTTGCGTTTTTGACCGTTGGTGCTGTCTCCTGAGTCGCCGGTTCGCAGGCGACTGACGGCCCTGAGGGACCACGCGCACGGCCGCAGACACACTGGGCACGACCAGTCCACCACAGCGCGCGCAGATAAAGTCCAGCACTGACTGCGGCAGCTGCGCGCGACTCGTTCGGGCCATCTGCATCATCGACGCACTGTCAAAAAGGTCAGCGGTTTTTGACAAGTGTGTGTTTTGAACAGGTGCACCGGTTTTAAACACGCACATCAGGTGGTTGGCCAGCGTGACGTTACTCGGCAGCAGACGGTGCGCCGACGTCCACAGAAACGCAAAGCGCTTCTCGAGCTGTCGCGAGTTCTCTGCGCTCGCGACGTTCATCTCGGGCAGCACGAGAGCGCCAATCGTCGGCGATGTGGGCGGCAGCGACGCCATGTGGCGCGGACGGACGTGGTCAATAATTGGTCTGATGTGCGCTAGAAGGTGACAATTAGTGTGGGACACGTCTGCGTTTCGGGAGGCGTCGCCTCTGCAGAATGTATGACGCATCAGATAACATACCACAATGACAAGTGACCGCCAAATAGCATATCGTCACTGATGACGACTCACCAGCAGTTGTTATTGGTGACCAATCATACAGCTTTTGTTCGAGCAGATTTATGTGCGCATGTCGTTATGATGACATTGTTCCAAGAGCTCAAGTGTGTGACTTTCTTCTCTTTATCGGCAAGAAAAGTGGTCAGTTTTGTACGAAGACATTGGCACTGTCATCGTACTGCAGTCTGAAGCTCGTTGCGTGGCAAGTAATAGTGGTCCGGTACGATGACACACACGTCGCGACCGATACATTCAAAAACTTGTGTCGACGATACTGCGCTGCAAACGATGTTTTGAAGCTGCCTGACGACGAAAAGGGCGGTACATTGGCCGCAAAAGTAGATGCAGCTCGTCAACTTCGACGCTTTTTGTCTTTCTTCCAACGTAGCTGTGCTGGAGTGAGGCGCTTGTCAATGTCATGTCGCGCCTTTTCTCCAGATCCGAAGCGAAGCATTGGTGCGCACGACTAGTTGGCCACGTGCAGACCGATTGCGCCAGCACGAGACACAATCGTCTCAGTCTACGCATCATTTGCTCACAAAGTAGGGAACACAGGAAAAGTAAGATGCAACATTGACACGGAGTAACACATAGTGCAATACGTCGTAATATTCGCGTGGCATGCGACAGGAAATTGCAACGGACGAAGCTCAACAAGGCCGAGAAAAGTCACACGGTAGTGTTGTGGTCGACACTAATACTACTACTAGTAGTAGTAGTAGTCGTAGTAGTCGTAGTAGTAGTAGTAGTAGTAGTCGTAGTAGTAGTAGTAGTAGTAGTAGTAGTAATATTGGTGTATATTGGACGCCGTCGTAGCGTACAAAGCATGGTGAACGAGGTGTCAGGACTAAAGGAAGAAAATCGTTAGCAACTGGTAGCCGATGAAGAGGCAACCCGAACGTGGATGACAGCTTCATGTGTTCCCCATGGTCTCACCACGACTAGAATGCTTCATGTGTACTGAACAAGAAAAAGATAAAACATTACTTGACAATACTTATTTTTCAGCGATGTGTGTATATCACAAGTGGTTTTGTAGAGGGATCAAGTCAACGAGAGAGTAAAAAAGCAGATATGTGCTTATTGTAAAATGGGGTGAGCCTATTTAATGTGATTGACACCAAAATGGGTTAATACACGTGGTATTTTAAGTGATACTACAGTCACCCCTCTTTATAAGAGACTCTCTATAAGAGACACCCTCTTTATAAGAGACTCTCTATATGAGACACCCTTTTTACAAGGGTCACAGTGTCGCCGAACATTTCAAACTGTACAAAAATTTGTATGCCGTTCTCTTTATAAGCGAGTAAGATAAAAGACACGAAAAACACTCGCCCATTTGAGGTGAAAGCCCCCTTAATATGACTCACTACCCCTACTTCTGATGCTGAAAGAGATACGTGGCATAGGATGTGACAGTCGTTCTAGCCGAAGGTTTGCCTTAAACCTATTCAGCAACGTCGTAGAACCACAGACGTGACCTAGGGAAAGACATAGAGTATGTCATAATTGGTGAGCTTATAAGGCCCATGTTACTGATGACGTCATGACGTCATGACGACAGATACAGAAGAAGAAATTTAGTAACTTCGTAAGGCAATCGATAGGAAGAAATAAAATTTAATTGTCGTAAGTACTCGACTACACCACTGATACAACACGTCCACCCAAGAACGTCAAGCCCGTGCATCCAATGAGTTGAACAAAGCGAGTATCCCTCTCTCTAGAGCAGAAGTACGAGATCTTTCAACACTGCAAAGAACTACCAAACATCTGCTTTTACGAAGTGCAGACTTATGTGAGCATTCAGTTCCATCACAGCATTAGTAAATCAACGACGCACCGGCTCATGGACATGTAAGAGATAGACTTTGAGGGCTTTAACCATTATGTTAAAAAAAGAAACGACGTGTAAAGCATCCTGAGTACGAGAAGGAGCTGCTGAGATTCGTTCTTGAGCGCAAGAGTGACGGGTTGTCTGAAGATCTGGTCCTGGAAAAAGCAGACCAGCTGCGAGTGAGCCATGATATCGAAGATCCCGATCTCAAGCTTTTCAAAGGAATGGATCCAGATTATCAAGAAGCGGAACAACATCAAAAGCCGCGCGTTGACAGGCGAGAGCGGGAGCTTATGTATCGAGGATGTGCAAGCAGCAAAGTCTGAGATCCGATCTCTGATCGAACAATATTCTCCGAGTGATGTGTCTAATTTTGATGAGACAGCATTATTTTACGACTTGCCACCGAACAAAACCCTATCCACGGTTCGAAACAACGTCAAGAAGAGCGTAAAGTCACGCGTAACAGTTGCTATGTGCTGCAACGCAAGTGGCCCTGAAAGCTGGAGCCCATGATCATCGGGAAGTTCAAAAAGCCAAGGTGCTTTAAGGGTGTGGGGATCGAGAAGCGTGGCATCGTATACGCTGCGAGCTCAAACGCCTGGATGACTGTAATCATTTTTGAAAAGTGGCTGCATCAATCTAATATTCTAATGCATGGTCGCAAAGTCCTGCTACTTCTTGATAATTCTTCCAGTCACAAGGTCCAACGAGAACTCAACAACGTCATGTGGTATTTTTTCCGCCTAGCATGACTTCCACTATCCAGCCGCTCGATTCAGGTACGCATTAATATCACATTTTATATGTGTGCGTCTTAAATCTACATTAATCTCCTCACCTATATATATGCTATATCGGTGTCATCCGATGGTCTAAAGCTCGATACAAGAAACTTCATATGCGATGGCGCATGGATCTGATTGAAGCAAACGTGGAACGCAGACTCAATGTCCTAGAATCCATTGAGTTTGCAGCTGAGAGCTGGAAGAGTTTTGGCGGGGATATCATTCGAAGTTGCTGGATAAAGAGTGGAATCATCGAAGCGCCACAGGTTGCGGATTTGCGTGCACAGAACGACTATCGACAGTCCAGCCCCGCCTTCCAACAATACTGCTGCGATTTGGCTGTAATATTTCAAAAGCTTAGTGTAACCGTTAGCGTGGATGATTATGTCGAAATCGAGGACCACGAGCAGATTTACGAAGAACAAGAAGCTCTGATTCAAGCAGAAGTGGATCCCGCGGGAGTCGAAAGCGACGGAGATCAAGCGCCTGTCAGTGCAAAAGAAGCACTAAAGTGCTGCCTGTAACGGGGCAGCCCGTTACATGAAATTGTCACTTTAAGGAAAGTGACAATAAAGAATATAAAGATGGATATTCTTTAAAACAATATCACCAAAGTGGTGATATTGAAGGGTCGATCAAAGGGTCTGTTCATTGGTTGATATCGTGATGATATCAACCCACCAATCGCCGCAAGACGCGCGCAATGAGTGGTGACGAGACGTCACCATACATGCAGCTATATTAGTATAATTGAATCAAGTCAAACGAAGAGACAGTAGTTTAAAGACTTAATTTATTAATACAACAGTTCTACTTTTACCCTACCTACGCTTCCTCGCTTGCCACGTGTACGTCCGTCGGGGCACCCAAATCCCTTGCGTTAAGTTACGCAAGGGTGTGCCCCGTTACACCTGGTAGCACTTTGTAGTCCTTCCAAGGACCACATCATCCAACATGTTCATGTTGGATGAAGAAGACACCTTTCACGCCACGCGTGAAGGGTTTACCCATTTGAGTGACATCGAATGGGGTGCGGTAGAACGAATGAGTTCTACCGTAGGCGAACTCGTCGTCAGCACCATGTTGGAGTCACTAGACAGAGACCAACAACATGCCGCTATCGCCAAGTTCATTCAGAATGAACTTGCTCTCGAGAGGGAGAAAGTAGCCTTGCTTCACCAGCAAGGCTCTCAACAGGCCGAGCAGTTGAGAGAACTCGGTGCTCAACAGACGGAGCTGTTGAGACAGCAGCAATTCCATGCTGCTGTGGGCGGGACGGCGCATGCGCGTCGTCCCGAAGTCATGAAAGTCGACATTTCCAAGTACAGTGGAGTCCCGGAGGACTCCCTGTTACCATGGTTTGTCGAACTCGACAGAGCCCTAAGGGCTCGTCGCGTCGAAGATGAGCAAATGAAACTCACATTTGCTCAGACCCACTTGGCAGGGCGTGCCAAAACTTGGTCCCTGGGACTCGAGAGTAGCGACCCAAATGTGTTTAGGTCGCTAGATGACTTCAAGTCCCGGCTCAGACAAACATTTGAGCCGCCACGTGCTGAGTTCAGGGCTCGCTCAGAGCTCCTGAAACTCAAGCAGGGTAAGCGTGATGTGCACGCTTACGCACAACATATACGACTCCTTGCGAGTAGTATAACTGCCAACCCAGTACATGAACACACGTTGATTACGGTGTTCATGCAAGGGCTCGCAGAAGGGCCCGTCAGGAGCCACCTGTTCCGCCTTGAGCTGAATACGCTTGAAGAAGCGATATCAGCCGCGGAACAGGAAGACTTTAGCATGAGACAGGCTCATGCTAGCTCAAACTCTTACCGTCCACCGAGACGACAAGAGATCGGAGGTCCAGAACCAATGGACCTCTGCTATGTTGAGAGCGAGAGACCTCGCTCTACAAACAACAAGCGATTGCAGAGGTGCAATCGCTGTCAGAAGTTAGGGCACTACGCATACGAGTGTAGTGCTCCACGCCCAGTACCAAACAGTACTGAGCGAAATGGACGACCTTTTGCCAGAAAGGGCAATGGGCGTGGGTCCAGCGCTGTTGCGAAGCCGCAACAGCGAGACGGACCATCAAAAAATGGTCGGGGTCAGTAGGGGCGGAGCGCCCTACTGATCCAGCAACCTCAAGAGAATTTGCAAATCTCTTGACGAAAGTTGCTCCAGATACACAATCGTTGTGTGTCTCTGCACCT